GCATATTGATGCTACGCTACATTCTCTTCCTATTATCAGTTGTACGGTATGATGAATCGATATGAACTTCCCGTGAACTCTGATGCATCGTGCTTGCTTTTATTCGTATACTGTTTCGTGCTGAATGGACCGCGTGTTAACTAGGCGTCGATTTTCTAATGCGTCATTATAACGTCGGGGATCGGAAAGATAATTCACGTTTTTGTCATTTTTCCCAAAACGTCATCGACTGTGTAGGTTGAAATTGACTTGCCTGAACAAGCATACTAGATGGGCAGTGATGACAATTAATTTCAGGGTAATATTGTTACGTTGAGCGCCATGTTTTACAAACAAAACATGTCCTTCAAAGCCATTTACACCGAATCTATCTTAACTACCATTACGACTCTGCTTAAAGGGCAGCGACAGTGTTCTATCGAGCTGATCATCATCACACTAGAAACAGCGTCATCTTTCGAGCCGAGGCTTACAGCAGACGATTGATTTTCTGATTGTAAAAAATTATCACAGTCATTTGCATCATCCTCTGTATGATTACCCCAGTCCATATGAGCGCGGTGCGGGTCTCCGGCTCGAAAGTGCACAATTTTCAATACCCTAGTTTGCATTTTACAATCATCACAATATCATTTCTTCGCTAGCTGTGTTAAGTATTCGGCTTGCTTACTCGGCCGACCACTGCTGAAGACTCGCTACTGTTTATCTAGACCCCTTTGATCGCCAGTGCAGCGAAACGGATTGCTACAAAGCCGCTAAGTCCCAGTTTGCGGCCCACAGATCAAGGACAAGAAGACCTCCTCGAAGACCGTTTCGTGCTGAGTGGCGTTGCTGTCTTCAAAAACGTAGTCAATGGAAAAAATCCAAGTAAGACACTCTTCGCCCGCTTGATTCATTCATTCATTGCAGTCAGTCGCTTCAAGAATTTACGAGAGCGAAAATCAGGATAAAGAGCGATATTGTGATGAGCCGGATATTGTTCTCCGGCCGGCTAAACTTCAACCATCGTATCAGCATAATAAATACTAAAATAGCATTCAGTAATTGTAGAAAAATCCCATATATTCGGAGCGGATACATTCGATCGACGACACTTAAACATGCTTAGTTTTGGTGTTTACTCGCTTCCGATTGCAAGCTAATGCGCGTTTATCGTCAACGAGAGCGGACGACATAACAAGGCATAGATTTCAATAAGCACAATGTAAAGCGGATCGGGTTCTTCAATGGTACAGCCTAAACATCGTTACAGGTAGAAGATTTTAGGCCTTAAAGCTTTCAAACCAATATGGGAGGGAGGACATGATATGTGTCGATGTGAGCGCATACTCTGACGTGTAGCTAACCGCAGTTAAGCGGATTTTCACAAAATTCATCATCTTATAGAAAGCGCATGCCGTACATCAGTTGCCAAGCGTGAATCTATCATACTTCAACGAGTGCTCATGTGTGAACAACTGAAGTACTAAATGCTGTGATCCTGAGAGGCCAGGGATAACTCATTGCTACTGGTTATTTGCTAGGGACATGTTCAGCATTGCTCTTCACCATTGTACCACGGTGTACGCATAGCTTAAAGCTTCTTGATAAAATAGAGGTGATAGCCAGCTTGATGTGCTAGAAACCGCGTGAGGATCGGTAGATGATCAGTGAATGAAACAGCGCTTCTCAAACGTACCAGTTAAAGGGAAACAGAGCAAATTCATTAAGTGTAACAACTCAAACAGGAAATCCTATTTCAAATAGAAAAATACTTGCGTGAACAAAATTCAAAGTGCAACTTTTGTATGGTTACGTTCCACCAATATACAGAACATTAGGTAAATACACTATTCCTCAAATCTCTTATTTTAGCTACTAAGTCTTGTCTTTAGTCATGAAGCACGACGTTCTGGCACGTAAATTTTTCTCTTTTCTGACAAATTGACAAAAAGTAGGCCACTAATTGCCTTCTCTAATACGCATTAAGAGCTGACTCTACTGGGTTGTAAACCTCGAAAATGTACGGGTAGATAACAACGAGAGCCCGAACGCCGGCCGTAATTTCAAGCAGCCACACACTGTACACTGTACACATAATAGGTACAACAATGTTTTCCAAGTACTGATATTAATAATGATACAAATAAAGCGTAAGATTTTCCATGTTCTCTAAATGACGGTTCGGTTCTTTTCTGTTTGATTGAAATAGTTGGCTTACTTTCGTCGCTTCTTCGCCACATGATCGCGCCATCTCTGTCAGAATGCTGCCAAGAATATCTAACTACTACCACTGCACAATTTACATAAATGAGCGAAGTTTATATACCAGATGGGGCAGCTACTAAAGACAAAACAAGTCAATGTGGCATTGAGCGTGGCTATACTTAGCTAATAGATTTGTAAAATAAGTTTTATCGGAAACGATTGATTTGCTAATTAGCGTTGTTTTTTTTTTAGGCCCGATTCAGGCGCCACTAGAGTAGATACCCTATCAAACCGCACACGTTACTTTATATATATATATATATATATATATACTAGAAGCTACGACTGAATGGATACTATTTGACAAAACAACACCGTCCAATGGGAAACTTCTGCCACACTGGCGGTGAAGAATACAAGAATTACAAAAGACACGACTGCCGCTGGAAATCTGTAAAAGCTCTAGCTTTGTTGTCTAGATGACACTGATTTGTGGACAAAACTAATTCAATTGATTCAGATAAGGAAAAAAAACAGCCCGATGTTACAGCCAGCGTAGTCACTATCGCCACCGCTTTCACTTGCCCTGAAAGAAAAGACCGTTCCATTTGGAATTATTACGAACTATTAATTGTTTAGAGCCAAACTAGCGACTCACAGAGTGACGTGGCAAACCGACGAGTTTCTTTTGGTGCTAAGGCCAGTACCAGCCGGTACTTCGAAACGGATAGAGGCATCGTTGCGACAGCAGCGCTCTCTGCCATCGTGTTGTAAATATAATCGGAAAATGTTCCGCTCTAGTTAGCGAAAAAAAAGTTAATCTTTTGTTGTTGTTGTTACTGTTGCTCCTACTTTTGCTTCTGCTGCTGCTAATCAGCATCTCGCATTAGCGGTAGCAGTTGATCTTCGCAAGCTGAAATCATCGTGGCGTTACGTTGTTACGTGTCATCGTGGACGTCGCTGCTATCAACTGCACTAAATGTTTTTCACTTGAGTCGGGACCCTGGGAAAGGCAGGAAGCTCGTTGCAACTAGAAGTAAAACGGCGACTATGTGTTGGCTGCCATTGCTGTCCGCGTGTGAAAACGTTATAACTTACAAACTTCCAGTTCAGCTTAACTTAGCTTAGCTGAATACAGCATAAATCAGGTAGCTTAATTGTTTGGTGTATTCAGCAGTAGTTACCGGTCTTCGAGCGCCACGCACAAGCGTCATTACAACTAAGCAGAGGAGATAACGCATCTGTATTGGGGTTTATTTTTGCGTTATTCAGCTACACTGGTTTGACCTTCGTCGCGTCTTCGCTAATGACTGTGCGATATTATCGTTAGACACATATGATATAATGATGCGTAAGTATAGTATTATTATATATTCATCCATGTGCTTTGGATGTATTGAGGCGCTAAACCCTAGGCAGTGGTTTAACGTCGGACCACCTCGAGACCCTGCTGGTGCTGTTGTTATCGTCCAAATCAACATCGAAAGTTCATTTTTGTTTCCCAGCGCACGGCAGCGTTTTTCAGGGATAAAGCAAGATTAGCAACGGATGATACGCGAAGCAATTGAGAGAAAAGGACCGAAGTAAACGAGGGAAAAGGACAACGACAAACAACAAAACTGATAGGCAGGCACCAACTACGTTAAAAGAAAAAACCGTTGACATTCCCACCTGATGCCTCACTAGTTTGGCTGTAAAAAAAAAAAAAAGAAACCATAAGCAACGCTGAAGCATGCTCTACATGCGTTAGATACGCACGCACACGGGCTGATTTCGACACATGTACATCACACTCAGACTATCAATATCGCTGCGCACGACCCTGTGTTCTGTTAGCTGTTTTCGAACGGGTCTTCTATAGTCTTTCCGTAGCTAGCATAAAACAACTGCTTCTCGTCGCGACGGCGGCAGCGGCGGCGGCGGCGGCGGCGGCAGAAGATTAACTACAGAGAAATTGTTCCTAACGTAGGTATTAATCCGGTATCTGTTTAGGCTCGGCCGCTTCGAGTAAAATTAGTCCTAATTTCTGCCCATTCAACTATCAGCTTTACCACATGATTTTATGAAACTCTACTACTGAACTACGATGAGCCGCTACCAATAGGTCAACTAGTTAGGTTAGGCCATCCGCAAAAGAAAGTTAGCAAGTTAAAGAAGTAACTATCACTTATGAATTGCCTGGATAATACAGTCAGGCCGATAGGTCTGCCTGCTGCTGCTGCAGCAACAGACAGCAGCGGAGAGTATGGGTTACGGTAATTAGTCACTGCTGTTGTTAGAATATCTGTGATCGTCTTTGCGGGAGATAGTTTTTTCAGCGTTGACTAGTGTCCTGTTTTTTGCTGCTCGGCCGCATCAGGCTTGTGCTGTTACCGGTAGCCGCCGACGCCGAAGTTGCTGGCTATACCATATGCGCCTGCACCGCTTTAGGAACTTTTGGCCGTCTGTGGGTGCCCTTATTAGGGTGCTCGACTTACAGCGAAGGAACATCTTTCTCTTTTGTCTCCTTCTATCAATCCTAGTCTGTGCCCTACGTAAGGCTCGTTAGACTGTGTAGACCGAAGGCCGAATATTTCAAGAAAGCGAGCTTGGATAGAGAAATTATTAGGAGGGATACATAATGTTCTGATGTACTGTGTCTTCTCTGCTCTATTCTATACAATGGACCAGCCATGTGCTTTTCACGTGTGTTTTCACGATGACACCTTCAAAGCGCGGTAGCCGTGCCATAGAACCGTTGATCACATCGAGCTCATATGTGTGTTCATCACTATATGGACGGTCCATGTAACGACAGATCTGCTCACTGTTACTACACTGATAAAGGAATACGTAACAGAGTATCGTAAAGGATAGACAGTCGCCTGGGTATGTATCTGCTGTTGGAGGTCAACAATAGAACTCAGCCAGTATATTGACTGGATAAAGAATGTGGGCTTCGGAGGTGCGGTTTCGATCCGTATGCTATATATTATTGTATAATTATATCATTTTCCCATAGGATACACGCGGACAACCGTTTTTCCATGTTGATTTAGTAGCAAAATACCCTAGGGGCCACTTGTATACTGTTCTATGATTAATACCGCCGGCGACTAACGACACATGTTAGAAATGCTGATCGTCGTGGCATAGAAACTCGTCCATTGTGTTACCATAGCAGTTTGTAGGAGCAAACCAAAAAGCCAAAGTTGAATGGATAATATGAGCAGACGCTTCCTGTTGGATGGACAGTGAAATGATTTCCGCAATTCATCGTGGTAACAGCATTTTGCCCTGCAAGGACAGTCTTTTGGCTTGTCCATTGACGGCCTAATTTGCTGTCGTATCAAACCAATCAAGATATAGTCGCTGGCTAAGGCTATGGGAAAAGAGACACGCATCAAGGCAATAGAAAAAAAATGATGACAAACGTGTGAGTAATATAGAAACGCTAACTAACTAACTAACTAACTACTAAACTAAAAACCTATCGCTACAATATACGCAATAACAGCGACGGCGCCGTGAGCATACCCGTTAAATATCGGTCACGAATTAAATTAAAAAGGATAGTATATTTATTTAATAAAAATATAAGTAGCCCCCGCTTATTTTTTTCCAGCAACAACACATTGTAGAGAGGAGCAGCGATCAAATGCCAAATAGAAACAAAAAAGTAACTTAACCTATTTTTAATATCTTTTTTTTTCAGAATTCTTCACGTGATTGATGTTACAATTCGACTTGTCCGACCGTACAGCTTAACGTGAGGTCAGGGGAAAGGACAAGGGGTTCGTGCCTCTTCTACCGTATTTTCTTTCTATCTGTTTGATTCATATTGATAAATAGATACTGTCGTTTATGCACTGTAGCAAACTGTCGCTTGTCAAGTTACTTTTCGATCGTTGGCTTGGTCTCATGATTTTGACGATATGGGATAGTCGGTTAGGTTTAGTAATGCTGTCAGTATCTTCATTGTTTTCTGTGTGCCTCCGTCACTCGTAGCTTGGTCGCTAGCGTCCCACAAAGCCGATAGCTTGACCGCCAAGCAGTGGGATTGAAGGAAGGAAGTGGTGGCGGGCCGATGTGATAAACAAAAATAGAGAAAATCAAGGGGAGTTTTATTAAACTAAGTGTCGTCTCCTCTCACTTGCATTTACAGTCAATTGAAGGGCGTGTTATGTCTGTGCTGCTGACGGTTGTGCGAGAGCCTTATCATCAATACAAAGTCATTGTGAAACCAACTTGGCTGATAGGAAGACATTGGCCGATAAACGGTGACAAAGTGTTGCGGAAGATAACTTTGAAGTTTAACAAGACGAAAAATAAGGAACCGCGCCCTCAAAAAATTCACTTTATTCTAACGTTCTATATCATGGAAGGGTATGTATGTGTGCATGCCTATATATATGGGGGAGATAGCCTTTTGTCGCTGTTGTCCTCTTGCCGTTCTCACAGGACAGAACAACAAATGCACACAGACGGGATCTCATTTGAAGTTTGCTTTTACACAATATACTGTGCAATAAAAAAAGCCGGAGTCACTCAGATGCCAATATTTTGCCGAGATTGTGGCTGACTGTGTGACAAGATAGAGCTGTATATGGACAGATACACGGACGAGAAGTGATAGGAAGGACACATTGATGAATACCAAAAAATGCGACGGACAAGCATTAGGCAGTGATCTTATAAACTAGACGTTGCTAGACTTTAGTTCTTAGTGTGCCGTATTTTACGGAGTGATCAGGACGTTACATTTGTGGAAGTCTACAGCAACGTAGGCAATAAAAGACGCCAGTAGCAGTCCAATCCTGACATTAAGTAATGCAAACCCGCATCGTGCTGGAAAGCTGAGGCTGGTGCACGTTGCCGCGTGCTCACAGAAGCATTTATATCCTATTTACGCTCGCAAACGAGATAGTTCCTACAGTAGGTAAATTATACCTCAACAGATGTCAGACTCTATAGGCGAAACGCCAGGGTCATATTAGACGATCTAATATTTGCGGGTTTTCAGACGATGTATGAGGTTACACTAATGTAGAAGGTGTACAATAAAATTTACACACTGGGTTTCCTATAGAAAGTAAAAATCGGTTGTCGATCTACCTTAAATCTGCCGGCGGCCCTCGTAAGCCGAATGGTATATTATCGATTCGAAGAAAACCAAAAAAGGGACGCTTACAGTTAGCTCTACGAAAGCAAAAGGGGCATCGCAGCTAACTGGTCACTGGTGTGAAGGTCATTCTGGGATCGAAGCTTTTCTCGAATTTTCATTTATCATGCAAGTCAGTACGACATCCGAATCTTTCCGTCGAATACGGACACGTTCGTTCACACGTATTTTTTTTTCATATCGCTCAGCGAACCGTGTCGCTTTTACATAAACTGGGCGATTCCTATTTTCATTGTTACCTCTTATCTCTGCTGCATCAGACTGCTGTTGCCGTCCACGCCCCATACTTGGTACAGTATCTTCACAATAAAAATGATTGCTCGAATAGCAAATCAAAGGAAAAATATATATATATATATATATATAATACGTATCAAGTCCAGCCGCTGGCACAGAGAATCCATTCGATTATAACATGTCTACAACATATTATCGTCATCGATGCAGCGATTGTTGTTGATGTTTGTACAGACAGCAGCGTCCCGTTCATTAGCGATTGAACGGCAAATTCTCGCATACTCTTCTTTTATATCAAAAAGATCAATGAAGTGCTATGACGAAGCGGCTGTTGAAAAAAGGCCGGCAGACTCTACGGACATACGGCAGCCAGAGATGACAGCATCAGCGTATGACGATGACTAAGTAGGACAAGCCTGCCTGTCTTCCTCCACCGGCAGCATTAAACTAACCTTCGAATATTTAGATATTAATTAATCTCTTCTGCTTCTTTCTTCTTGATCATTGAGTATTAACAGTTATATTAACTAGGTTCGATCAACTACAGGAGGTGTATCACGGCCAACGTAGCGTATCGGTCATATTTATAGCGCGATTAAAAATCTGCCTTCCCCCGAAGCTGGGATTACGTTCAGGGTAATAGGACCTCACACACAGTAATTGGAGCAAGACAATTTAGCATCATTATGAATTATGTGTAGATCCTGTGAGCGGTCCTAGCCTATTGTTACCATCTTTTGATACCCATTTCTAAAATTAAACCATTAGGTTGCTCTCAATAACCGCATCTATTCCATGTTATAAATTATACATACCCTCGGTTCGTGTGTATTACAGGAAAGAGCTGGAAAAATCGTATAAAACTGGACGGTAGTACCTGCGCAGTTAGTTGATTAACGGTAACTTTCTTTTTGCACCATATGGATATTTTCAGAGTCATTGAATCATTCAAAATCACTGTAGACAACTGTATTAAATCTAGCGATTTTAGAGGAATATCAATCAATGGTAATCCTCAACATCTTATGTGCTCTTAAATTTTTGCACTTGGACGGTCACCTTCGTCACTAAAGATACATCACTTTGCCAACTGATTTACCGAAATCTATGATAACGGAGACAATTCCAAAAAAAAAACAATCTCGGTAATATCATTTCTTTCAGTGAAATCATTGGTTATTGGTCTAGATGAAAACTATGGGTATAAAACCAAAACTCACTCTCTCTCTCTCTCTCTATCTTCCTATATATATATA